GGGGGCATTTTGTTTTCAAAACGTGATTTTACGCATTTGGCAGTTGAATTTTTTGCTTCTTTTACCCTTCTCTTTGTTCTTGTGGTTTGTTTTTTTTTTATAATTTATTACATTTTTATTTATTTTAGCTATGGGATTCTCATTTAGCATTTGGTTGTTTGAGATGGTCTCATGCTTTGGTGGCTTTACTGCTTTTGTGATTTTGGTGCTCTAGAGGTATAACTCCTCTGTTTCTTTTTATGTTTGAACAATAGATGTATTTCCCATTCTCTTCTTCGACCTGAAATGCCATTTCATGAAGAGTGTTATGAGCACTGTTTGTTCTTTTTAAAATATATCAATGAGAATTTATTTTAAGCTCTTGCCAAAATTTATATTTAAATGTTAAATCATTATTTGCATTATTTCCCATTCCTCTTCTTCAAGCTGGTAAAATATTTTATGAATAGAATTATGAGCATTGTAGGTTCTTTTGAAAATATATCCATGAAAATTTCATTCGTCTTATTGTACATATCACAGTTAACATGGTAGATTAGTAACTGCACTTTTCTTTTACCTTCTTTAAACTGGAAAAGCATTTTGATGATTCATAAGAGCACTGTTAGTTCTTTTTAAAGCCTATCCATCAAAATATAGTTTTTTTTTTCTATTGTAAATATCTCATTTTACTTGTTAGATTAATAATTACATTTCTTTTTCCTCTTTTTCTAACTTGAAAAGAATTGATAGAGATTATCGGGGGCAATGCTGATTTTATCTTAAATATATTCATGAAAATTTCACTTTTTTATTATTGTAAATATCTTAATTTTTATGATAGATCAACAATTGCATTTCATTTTTCTCTTCTTTAAAATTTGAATAGATTGTATTGAGAGAATCTAGGAGTAGTGACGATTCTTTTGAAAATATATCCATGAGAATTTGGTTTCTTGCTTTTGCAAATATCTTAGTTTTCATGCTAAATTAGTAATTATATTTTCATTTCCTCTTATTTAAACTTGGAAATAATTGTATGGAGAGAATTTAGTAGCAGTGTTTTTTCATTTGAAAATATATTCATCACAATTTTCTTTTTTTTCTATTGCCATATCTTAGTTTTTGTGTGAGATTAGTAATAAATTGTCCTTTCCTTTTTTTCAAACTTGGAAATGATTGAATGGAGAGAATTCAAGAGATGTTTGTTCTTTTAAAAATATATCCATAAGAATTTAGTTTTTGCTTTTGCAAATATCTCAATTTTCATATTAGATCAGTAATTGCATTTCTCTTTTCTCTTCCTCTATGTTTGAAAGGATTGTATGGAGATTATCTAGAAGAAGTGTTGTCATCTTGAAAATATATTCATGAAAATTTGGTTTTTCGCTATTGGAAATATCTGAGTTTTTGTGGTAGATCGGTAATTACAATACCCTTTCTCTTCTTCAAACTTGGAAAGGATTACATTGAGAGAATTTAGGAACAGTGTTGGTTCTTTTTAAAATATATCCAGGAAAAATTATTTTTTGCTATTGCAAATATCTTACTTTACATGTTAGATCAAAATTTTCAATTTCATTTCCTCTTCTTCAAACTTGGAAATGATTGTTCGGAGAGAGTTTATTAGCAGTGCTTATGGTTTTGAAAATATATCCATATGAGTTTCATTTTTTTTTATTGTAAATATCTCAGTTTTCATGATACATCAGTAATTGCATTTTCCTTTCCTCTTCTTCAAACTTGAAAAAAGATTGTATAAAGAGAATTTAGAAAAAGTGTTGGTTCATTTGAAAATATATCTAGGGAAATTTTTTTTTTGCTATTATAAATATCTCAGTTTTCATGTTAGATCAGCAATTGTATTTCTATTTCCTTTTCTTCAAACTTGGGAATGAGTGTAAGAAGAGAATTTAGGAACAATGCTTATTATTTTGAAAATATATCCATGAGAATTTTATTTTTGTTATTATAAATATCTCAGTTCTTATAATACATCGGCAATTGCATTTTCCTTCTCTCTTCTTCCAACTTGGAAAGGATTGTATGAAGACAATTTAGAAGTAGTGCTAGTTCTTTTGAAAAATATATTTAGAAAAAATTATTTATTTATTGTTGATATTCTTCTTATGTATAATCTTGATAAAGAGCTATGGAAAAACTTTTATTATGGAGATCAGCTATGTGCTCTAAAGGCCTTCGTTTGAGTAGATCTAAAATTGATAACATGAAATGTAATTTTAGTAGTACTAGCTCTAGTGACAAATTGTAACTATGGGTGATCAAATTATTAAAATGTCTAAACATTTTAGCTATCTCAAGTCTATTGTTCAATTGATGGTGATATAGATGGGGATGTTATTAGTAGAATTCAAGTAGGTTGGAAGTACAGGAAGGCTTCGGGCCTATTGTGTGATAGAAAAGTACCCTTAGACTGCAAGAAAAATTTTATAAGATGGTGGTGAGACCTACAATGCTCTATGACATAAAATTTTGGACTTTAAAAGAGATGCATAAAACTAAGTTATGTTGAGACAAGAATGCTTAGGTGGATAAGTGGCTTGGATAAGTGGCTTTACACTTAGCTTAGAGACAAAATGTGAAATGAATATATCTGTGATAGGGATGATGTAGCCCCAGTGGTGGAAAAAAATTAGAGAGAGTCGACTTAAATGATTTGGTCACATTAAATGTTGACCATCTTATGATCCAGTTAAGAGAGTAGATATTTTAGATTCGATTTATGTTGAGAAAGGATAAGGCAAACCTAGAAATGTTTGGGCATGTTGTATAAAAACAGATTAAATTATTAGAATTAAATGAAAAAATGTCACTCAATAGGACACAATAGAGAAAAATGATTCATGTAGTCGAAGAGAAAAATGATTGATTCATGTAGTCGACCCCACCTAGTTGGATAAAGGCTTGTTGTTGTATTATTAAAAATTTCTCAGTTTTCATATTAGATCTGTAATTGCATTTTAATTTCCTTTTCATCAAACTTGGGAATGATTGTATGGAGAGAATTTAGGAGCAGGGCTTGTTCTTTAGAAAATATGTTCATGTGAATTTCATTTTTTTTGTATTGCAAATATCTATGTTTTCATGATAGATCAAAAATTGTATTTCCTTTCATCTTCTTCAAACTTTAAAAGAATTGTATGAAAAGAATTTAGGAGCGGTGTTGGTTCTTTTAAAAATATATCCACGAGAATTTGGTTTTCTGCTATTGCAAATATATCAGTTTTCAAGTTAGACCAATATTAGTAATTACATTCCCCTTTTCTCTTTTCAAACTTGAAAATGATTGTATGGAGAGGATTTAGGAGCATTGCTTGTTCTTTGAAAATATATATATGAAAATTTAGTTTTTTTGCTATTTCAAATATCTAGAAAAGCATCTTATGGATAGAATTTCGGAGCAGTGGTGTCACTTTTGAAATTTGTCTTGAAAAAACTTTTTCTGTTATTGCAAAGATTTCATTTTATGGACTGATGTTTGGCATCTTGTGATTCACTGCCATCAGCCAAGGCACTGACTGTGAGGAAGGAACCGAACTAGGATGGAATTCATAGCAGACTAAAGCTAGATCTACTGCATCTTTCTAAGAAGAAAAAAGATTATGCAGACTGGTTCACTTGTCCAAAATATCGGGCTTTTGAGTGAAAGTAACAATTTTATTAAATTTGCAAAAAAAATGAACTTCAAACAGACTGAAAGTTAATTGATCTGGACAGTTTAGTCTTATTCTTAAGCACCTTTAACATGCTGGTGAAATAACATATTTTACGTCCTTTATTGATGGAAAATTTTCTTTTTTCTCTTTAAGATCATTGCAGTGTGAACTATTGTAGGGATACTAAATAGGATTTGCAAGTATTACTATTTTGTAATTATCCTATTAATACTTCTTCCAATGTTAGAGTTGTGCAAATGTTTGTTGTAATGTTGCCTTTAAATTTTTCGAATTTGATATATTTTGTATTTGGAATGTATGGTAGAACAATGATGTAAAATAAAATCAAAGGGCTCAACATATCTCCAATTGCAACAAATATTACCCGGTCTTGCAACCTATATGTAAAAAAATGGCGATAATGGATGAAGCCTTCTTTTGATTTATTGATCTCGCTAAGCTTTAAGGGTGTGTTTGGCTCAACATTACTAATCTAACATCTAAACTGAGATATTTGCATCAGTTCAAAATAATTCTTCCTGGATATATATTTAAAAGATCCAGCACTGCTCCTAAATTCTCTTCATACAATTCTTTTCATGTTGAAGAAGAAAAAAGCGAAAATACAATTACTGATCTAATATGAAAAATGAGATATTTTTAATGGCAAAAAATTAAATTCTCATTGATATATTTTTAAAAGTACCGTCAATGCTCGTAATTCTCCCCATAAAAACTTTTCCATATTTAAGAAGGGAAAAGGGAAAGACAATCACTAATCTAACCTCTATGTGCACATTTTCTGGGAATGGTTAATATGTATATGTAATGTGCTATTATGATGGTGCTTTGTTTGTAGAAATTTATGCGGTGTTAGTGGTTTGGTGCTTGGCTCTCAAATTTGTCGTGTTTCTGTATGTGGACTTTGTATTGGCCCACAGGCATCAATGTCTAGGCTAAAATAGCTGACCCCACCCAGAATTTGGATTAGCTGAATGTGCTCATTCCGATGAGGAACAGAAGGAACAACCAGCGAACCAATAGCGGGGAATGTACAGTCAATCCGGGCATCTTGGCCCTATAGGTAGAAGGGGAAAAATGAAAATGAAAACTGGGGTGACACACTTATTCGTGCAAACCTCGTAGCTTAAAACTAATTGCACCAATATCACAGCTAGTGCTCAAACAGCTTTCTATGGATACCCGAGTATGATAGATGTTGTGAAATTGATAGACTGTACTCCAAAGATTTTTTATGACAAGCTCCTCTTACTTATTTGATGTCAGAATTCAAGAAGATCAAAATAAGCAAGAAAAGTTTTTCACGCTGATAAATTGTCATTAAATCCAATTGGATTGATGACATTAAATCCAATTGGGTAATATAGTTTTTCACGTCCATGTTTTAACAAGCATCCATGGATGACTCTCTCTCCGGACAGTGATCAGGTCAGGCGAGATGGTGCATCTCAAAGATTTGATCTTCAGGACAAGAAAACGAACGTCATTCTAGGTTTGTTGGTTATTTTGGATGTCCTCATTATTGTAGTTATATGCATGAAATGACTAATCACTTTTTTTTATGTAATAGAGTATTTTGCACTACGGAGTTTTTGATAAATATAAGAGAAAAAAGTTTTTTTTCAAGTGAAACAGTTGCAACATGGTTGATTTCTCAAACAGACACATATTTCTCCATCAACAACTTTCTGACAACTCCCAATAAGTCGCATCTCCAAGAAGTAAATGCAATTGCCGCCTCAAACACACCCTTAAACTATTTGAATTTGGCTAATTATCCTACACTATTTTCCATGCTTTGATTCATCCCTGATTTGACTCAAAGTTCTTATTATGTCCTATCTACTCATTTAAGTTTGCATGCATAAACTTTCAATTACAACTATTTTTCGAAATTAAATAGAAACTAATCAAATTAAAGTTTAGTGGACGGTGAAAAAATAATTAAATCAATAATTATACTTCTTAATTAAGATAATTAAATGGATTTTTAAATACAAAAATCATAATATAAATACTAAAAACTAAAGATTATAACTTAAAAATTTTGAAGAAATTTCCAGTAGCAATCTCATTATTTTCGAAAAGAATAATAGAAATATAAAACACGACTAGTGTATTGACACTGACGACTGTTTCCAACTCACGATAGTCATTACCCTTACATGAATCGTGAGCGATTATTACATGTGAAATTCATACTTTATTTAATAATATTTTGATAATATTTTATCACAATACTATTATTATATCATCAAAATATCATTAAATCATACTTATTTTATACTATTCAGCATAAAAAAAAAAATAAAAATAAAAATAAAAACAAAAACAAAAATGCATCGGCCCTGCGCCACTTTACGAAGAACGCCGTCACAAACGACAAAACGTACCGTCCGTATGCCCGGCACGTGCAACTCATTTTCCTTTCCACCGTCCGATCAACTTCGCATGCCTTTCAAATTTCCGCCGGACCCCACCCGTGATTCCCGATATTACACTACTCATGCAGATAGTCCCCCCGCAACTGCCGACCTCGCCCACGTTTTCCTTAACAACCTAGGGTTTCATTGAATTTGCGCGAGCAGGACGAAGAAGACGAAGAAGACGAAGAAGACGAAGCTGGACTGAAATCCAAAAGTCTCTCAGCTTGCCAATTAGGACATCGCCTCAAAATGGGCTCTTGCTGCTTCGACCGAGCTGAAGCGGTCCTTAGCTCTGACTGGTCCGACCAAGATCAGGCCATGGCGGTCGCCGTCTTAGGCCTCAACGCTTTCGAATACCTCCAAACCTCCCGAGTCTCCTCTGACAGCCTCGTTTGCTCTGCCGGAGCAGCAGCCGATCTTCAAACGAAGCTCATTAACCTCGTGGAGTCCCCCGGCGGAGCCGGCTGGTCCTTCGCCATCTTCTGGCAAATATCCCGGTTTAAATCCGGCGATCTCGTTCTCGGCTGGGGAGATGGGCATCTCCGTGAGCCGGAGATCGAGAGTCTCGGTTCCCTCGATGATGTGCAGCAAAAGATGAGGAAGCGGGTGCTGCAGAAGCTTCATTTACTTCACGGAGGATACGAAGACGACAACTACGCTCTCGGACTCGATTGCGTTACTGATACTGAGATGTTCTTTCTCGCTTCTATGTACTTCGCCTTTCCTGACGGCGAAGGTGCACCCGGCCGAGCTCTGCTCCACCGTAAACACATATGGAATGATCCTCTATCGGAGAATTACTGTGTTCGGGCATTTCTTGCGAAGGCTGCAGGATTTCGGACTATTGTTCTGGTGCCATTTGAGAATGGGGTTCTTGAATTAGGTTCTGTGGATGTTATACCGGAAAGCATGGAAGCTTTGATGATGATTAGGAGTGTGTTCTCCAAGGGGGCGGAGTGGTTGAAGGTCTTTGGGAATGATTTAGAGATTGAGCGAGCAGAGAGACCTTCTGGGCTCATTGCAAACAACAGAGAAGCTGTCAATTGGAATAAAAATCGCAGCTTTGTTCCCCAACATTTGAAAGCTAGAAATGGGTTGGCAGTAATGAGAGGGGAAGTAAAGCCAAAAGGGCAGGGCTTTGTTCACAAACATCAGCAGCCTTCTCCTGCATCAAAAAGGATTGATTTTGCCAGCCATGAAAACTCTGATGCGGAGGCTTCTTGCAAGGAGGATAAACCTAGTATAATAGATGAGCGCAGGCCGAGGAAGAGGGGACGGAAGCCGGCTAATGGAAGAGAGGAGCCACTTAACCATGTGGAAGCTGAGAGGCAGAGAAGGGAGAAACTGAACCAGCGGTTCTATGCTCTGAGGGCTGTTGTCCCCAACATTTCCAAAATGGACAAGGCTTCGCTGCTTGGTGATGCTATTGGCTACATTACTGACCTCCAGAAAAGGCTTAAAGAGATGGAGTCCAGAACGAAGATGACGCCAGATGTTGAAGTGCAGACGGGGCAAGAGGAGTTAATTGTTCAGGTCAATTGTCCTTTGGATAGTCACCCAGCTTCCGTTGTCATTCAAGCATTCAATGAGCTGCAGTTCACTTCTGTCGAGTCGAAGATGTCAGCTACAGATGACTGTGTCTTCCACACATTTGTGGTGAAGTTGCCTGGCGGCACCGAGCAGGCTGCAAAGGAGAAGTTTTTTACTGTCATTTCTTGCCAAATGAATCCTTCTGCACAGTAGAATTGGACTTTAGACGTGGTCTAATTAGCCTCAAGACTAAATAGGAAACATTAGGAAACCTTCCATGAATGTTTCATGTTTTTTGCCATATTTTCTGTTTTAAAATGTTATAGAAAGAGAGACAGGACAGACCTGTTATTCAGCTTTTTTTTTTTTTTTGTATACAGTCTTTTCTCAAGAATCTTATTTTACAATTGCAAAGCATTATCTGTTTTATCTTCCTAGTGCAGCAGCATTGAGTAGGCAGAAACATCAAACATTCCACTGGCTTGTATTCATGATTCTGTATGGTTCTTGATGTATTTAAGAAAGTGTTAACTCTCTGCTGTGTTCAGTAACTAGATCTATGCAAGTGGATATGGGATGTTAATGGCTTCCCAATATTATGCAATAATTTTGTACTCGGGTTGAGCTATTTGTCTTCATTTGTCAGTCAGATTCAATTCATAAGCCATAGATGCATCTCTTATTGTTTGAGATCGTTTATTGTTCGCAAGTTAATACATGATGGTTAATATATCCGGACGGGTTCACTCGATAAATTAGGAAATAATTGCCCCCATTTTCAATACTAGAGGCCTTGGCTTTCCTTTTCAATTTATTTTCTATCCAGACAACGAGAAAGTTCTTTGGAATGTTTTAACAAGCAGCCTTATCATTTGGGAGAAATGATCCATATGGCTAGATTTGGAGTAAATGAGCCCTTTTTATTTATACTTTGTGGAATTATGCTCCTTATTATTATTTACTTTAATTCTATTTAGTACTTGCTATATTTAGTAATAGTATAAAAAGGGTAATTCCTTAATTATAGGTATTTAT